CTGCCTATTCATTAGTAATCTAATTTTAGAAATTGTTCGTGCAATGTCTCTGGACATATCCAGCTCTGATTTTGATCCAAAAATGAAGTCTTAAGACCACTTTTTTAGATCAGAAAGAGTGTTTTAAAGCCTGCAAATGGATTGTAGTCTTGGTAAACCTTGGAACGCAAGCAAGGACTCACTGATTGGTAATCTGTTTTGGAGTTAGGTGCGTCACCCACTTTACTAGTTCCCAGGGTAAATTATAACTTACTTAGTGGAACTAATTAGGACGTGTGGAACTGGCGAGGTAAATGACCTAAAAGGCACAGCATATTTCTTGCGAATTACTGCGCTATTTTTGGCTGCTCAAATGCATTGGGAGCTGGAACACCTACCCATTCAGAAGCAAAATTTACCGAGGTAAGCCAAATAGTAACTAAATTCAAAAGTTAAAAAATACCCTAAAGTAGGAACATGAACACTCTTGAAATAATGAAGCATAAATTAATACTTTTGGAGCCGTCTGCGTTTGCTGTTGTTACTGCATAGCATGAGTATACTCCAGCCAATTAGTTAACAATCGAAAACCACGCGTGCCCAGCAGCGTCGAAAACCAAGTATTTTTTGACAGCATCACAGCTTGAAATTCGAAGACCTTATCTGACTGATTTATTGTCAAACCTTGTTCATGGGTTAATGCGAAGGTGCGACCATCGTTGGACAAATTCACACATAAATTTTGCACAGGATTGGCAGATTGCTGTCGCGCCGCCATGGTTTACCAAAACCACTTCATGTCTAAAAACGCAAATCCTCGCAGATTTATCCTAGATCAAAAACCCATGGGGCAGGCAACATCGCAGGGGCTGAATACGACTGACAACAGCTGACAAATATAATCCTATTGTGACTACGCGGTGGTTAATTCGGACAACTAAGGTGACACAAGTGCAAGCTGTCATACCACAGTTCTATTTAAAAAGTCAAACCGCTGTCACTATTGCACAATAATATTGCAATGATACACTTTGATTTGGTTGGGTTTCATTGAAACGAAGCCACAGATATGTAGATGTTGTGGCAGATTTTACTACACGATTAAGTAAATAGGGTAGATTTCGCCTTTTAAGTAGGTGGATGTCTGTCGAGACCCTCTTCGGGGCCAAGAAATTATGATGCTTTGCAATATTGTATGTTTTAAGATGACCTCCACAGTTTTCGAATACGAATGAAAGTCCAGGCAACGCAATTTTAAAGCATGACTCTATAAGCTAATTTTACACCTCCCTGTCTGAAGTATCCATGAATTTTGATTGTGGAACGTCCATAATAATGGAATATATGCACGTCCATGCGTCGGATCACACTTTACACGAATGAGCGTGGGACAAATTTGAAATTCAACGCATTTGCAGAAGTCGAGTAGGCAACCAAAGGACCACGAAGACGCCAATTTTCAAGTACCATTAAATTCATTATTAATAGTTTAAACATTTACGTTCTTGTGAGCAGTCCCGGTTGACTAATGATAAATGGTTGAACACAAATCACGCTTGACCAGTACACCTGGCAGAAAAACAGAGGCACTTGACCACCGTGATGCACTTAAGAGGCGGAGAATGCCAATTAATAAGACACCACAGCCAAGAATAAATAATACGGGTCACTTCACATCACTAAGGTATCGCGCACACAAGACTATGTGTATTGAAAGAGACTTATATGAACAGAGGACTTATATAACATTAAATGCACTTCTTGGTTTTTTAGTTGAGTTGTTCTGAGGACTCAACACTGATAAATACAACCCACAAAGTATTATACTGAATAACCCCAATCAGCCAAGTTTCACAGCAATTAAATGCTTTAGGTCTCGATCAAAGCGAAGGTGGGCTAATGCATGTTTTCGTAAGACTCAATTTGATGTACTGGCGTTGCTTATAGTTGAAAAAATGCAGACAACATCAGTTTAATGTGCTTCTTTCAAAATTTTAAGTCTGACAGGAACTATTTTCGGGTGCAACAGATTGAATAATTTAGTTACCATTACCAATCCACATTTCCTGATCCGTCCACAAATAGTTGACCCATCAAACACTAAATAGTTCAACACAATATAGAGGAAGTTGAATATGAACTAATTTATTATGCCAAAACAGGGCGATTTAGTAAATCAGGCGGATTTACCACAGACGATATGTCATTTAATAGGGATGACTTAGGATTTTGATTATGGCAGCGATTAAGACAACCAGATCAGTTAGACGAATCTCTATTTTTGGAGCGTAGAAAATACGGCAAAATATATTTTAAATGAATCAGTTTTTAACATCATCAAAAATATCGTTCCGTTAAGATTGTCTGCTACATTAAAGGGAATAAGGCAAGCACCTATGCAGCCATCAGTGTCATAGTTACGGCTCTGACAAGTAATGCATGATGGGTGTATTGCTTGACTGCTACCTCGAAATTACTTGGATTCTCTTTTAATCTAAATTGACAATTCTTCTTGAGCTTATATATTTTGTGTTTGCCCACTCTTCCGTCTGCGTTGATTACAGGGCAGTCTGATTATATCAGACGTAACAGCCGGGCATTTACTGCTTTTGCATTTAGGCTTCAATCAATTAGAGCGGTATTTTTTTTGGAACCAGACGTCGTTTTCCACACTATCAGGAGAGGTGCTTCAACACCTACGAACAATCGTATGAGCACGTATTATAGTTTTTCTACGTAATAGAGGACCGCTATAATGCATAGTATTTTCTGCATAGTTCCGGATAAACTGGAACTAATCCTATGCTTGTTTAATGGGCCTGACGTTTTAGTTACGAGTTAAACATTAAAAAATGATTAATCAAAAGAACTGCGTAAATGATCAGAATATGCACGTATTCCTCAGACAACATCACGGTGTACATCGTATACATGCAAAGTTAGTTAATGGATGTTGTGTAGGTCGTCACCAAATGATAACAAGCATTAAAAAATGACACATAAGTAAATAAAAAAATCAAACGAAAGTCCACCAAATAGTACGCATTTTCCCAAGTTTGAATGAGCAAGGGCCAGAGCCACAGAATAAAGTGTTTTCAAGTAGAATGTCAAATTGATCGTATCCTTGTCGTAAACGGCACAATACAATGCAAAAATACGTAAAATTAGATGTTGAAACCCATGTTTGATCTAAGCTTTTCCGAATTCGGTGTTAACGTAAATAGAATTTACTAGAAGATGGTCATATTTTGACACACATGTTGTACTAAATTCAACAATTTTCGCATTAAACAGCCTAAAATTGCCTACTCAAAGGTGTCATATTTTGAACGACAGACACAAACATATAGGTGAATCAAATGAGACATTTCAAGTTTTTGTAATAAATTTCAAAGTCAGAACGACTAGAGCAATGAAATCACTGTTGCACTGTTACACAGATACCAATAACTATACCTTTAATGCCCTTCAAAACACGCACGGTAGCACTTCTGATTACTTCATTCTCCGGCAGGTTTAACCATCACAATCCGGCTTCTCCGGTCGTATCCCTGCTCACAGACATTATGGCAAGTTAATGCACTAAAGTTGTGCATAGATAACTAATCCAAGAAGGAGATCCGCACAAAATTAACTTTTTTAATCCATCGTTAGCCTAGGTAGATTTGGATTACAGAGAACAGCATGCTCGGTTTGATTCGGCATTGCCACCGGTTTCAGCGACTCTACCATGCAGATCGTACATGGTTTGTGACAGGTTCAAGTGTATAACTAAAAAATAGCTGACCAGTGCTACACAAAATGGTCACCAAACTGCACTGTGGCTTAACTATTAGCGGACGAATCTATATGCAAGTTTAGCACCCCCTGTAAAGTGCGTAATAAGGGCCCATTCCTAAGGCATGAATATTAAGCACAATGCTTCATTTATTAACAATCATCTACACCACTGACATTAATGCTGCTATGTCTGCACAATTACACAGAAATAAGTTTTCAAATTTATAGTAAATTTCAAAAACCTGATTAAATTACAGGTGTACATAAAACATTTGCAAGTCCCGCTTTTAATCTTTAAATAGCTTCAAGGTAATGTCCTTTGATCACGCGCTTTCTTTTAAGTCACGTACCAGCTTGGCTGTAACAGGCCTTGTGGTTTTGTTGATTGTCCTTATTTCTATCCGCAGCATTTCCTGTTTTGCGGATAAAATGTATTTATTCTAAATTTTTCGTAACGGTTGTTTTTGCTATGTACTTTTGGTAATATTTTCCTATCCCTGATTTCATCAGTTTCTTTGTCTCGCTCACGTGAATTTGTTAAACCTCTGCTTACTCAAATCATTTTCTATCACTTTCCGTGTCTTGTCATCCTACTGGAGAAGAGCGGGGAAAACATAACTATCGAAATATATAATTGTCAGTTAAGATAGTTTTAGTCATTTTATTAACCACTGTAATCATTTAAAACTTACTTATTCTACTTGTATTGTGCCACCGAACTGTTTGCTACCATGCCTTTTTAGTTCTTTGACTTTCTAGTAACGGTACTTAGGAAAAGTTGCGTCTTAATTTGTTCGTCGAACGCAGTTTTGTGGATGTTTTTACTTCCAATACATTGATGCTAAAATATTTTATAAAAAAATGAAGATTAAAATCATATTAGTGAGGTCACATGTAACATTCAACAGTAGGAAAGACACATGTAGGGAACATTTCTAAGTTCTTCATATATGCGGACATAGGCAAATATATTTGTTCTGCAGGCGCAAATGTGCAACATATGAACTTACTAGTGTTAAATTTAGACAAATTTATCGTTCAGTCTGCGGCGATTCATGAAAGATGAAATCTCGGAGCCACAAAATGAAATCTTACTGAGCGTTCGTTACGGAAATCACGCTTGCCTTCAGCATTTATTGAGTTCTGGGCCGCTTTTAATTTTTCCCTTCAATTTCACTGTTTAACTTTTTTCGAAACTTCCGACTTCAGAGTCTCAATAATTTTTCCAAATAAACGCCTTGATGTATGTAAATTGATATTATCAGCAAAGATTAATTAACCTACAAATGCATTAATTACTTATTAATTAATTCTAAATCTTCTTGTTTTTCTGCTTAAAGGAGAATGTCACCAAGAACATACAAAGTAGCGAAGGGCATGCCGAGTGGCCCTTCGTGAGCAGGGTCGTGGAACAGATTTATCGCTTCACTCTTGGTGGTGTGGCAGGCGGCTTTGGGGCTGCGGTAGTTTATCCCATTGACCTCGTCAAAACTCGGATGCAGAACCAACGCACCCTGCTCAGTAAACAGGGTAACCCGAAAGTGCAACCAGTTTATAGCAGTGGCTTCGATTGCTTCTGCAAAGTTCTTCGGTTTGTGATGCCCTAACTTACCAAGCCAAAATAGTTACTTGTCTAAACTAATTTCGATGTCTAGTTGTCTGGAGTCAATTTCTTTCGAATTCAACCCAATTTTGGTAGTTTTGTGCAGTTACCTGTACTTTTCAACTAAATACTCTTACCCCTGCATTTACTTCCACGAAATTAATTTTTTTCAAAATTAGTGTTAATTCATTCAGCTGTATTAAAATCCATGATTTAGGTACGCACCGGTTGATCAAACTCTAGCAACTAGTGCACTAGGTTCTGTAATTGTCTTTACTTGGGATGCATGGAACTAGTCAAATTACTGTTCTTATCACCATTCCAAAGTTTCACCTAGAAGCTTACAGAACCTTCATCATTTGCCGCAAGCTCATTGTATGAAGTTGAATGGTTACTAATATGAAGTCGTTGTGGCGATGCCATTTGTTTAGGATAGTTACAGGCCTTTCCGCTACCAAAAGGGCTGCGTTTGGCAGCATTATTAGTCGTTATTTCCTTCATTGTAATGTGCTGCTAGACGCTTATTGGGCCTTAAAATTACTGCGAGGAGTTTATTGTGATCAATCGTAGTCCCTTTTTTGTCAAGTAGACGTCTCTAGTGAGTTTTAGGGGCACAGTTTGTCTGAATTGTATCACTGTGTGATTACGTCTTGATTCAGAGTTGGTCTACTTCACTTGTATATCCTCGGACTTTTTATCGTATGTTTGTTTGCTATTGCCTTCGACTAGTTATGTCACCTGAGGTTCAGCCATCTCTCAGATCAATTTCAATTCTTTCTTTTCTTTTTAAGGTAAATCGTACTGCTCCTTGGTTCGTAAAGCCGATATTCCAGCCTATTTCTGAGATGCAAAATTTAAGGAGTAAATTTTAAGATGTGTACTGTTTAGAAAATTAAAGTCTTACTTTCGATCATTAATTGAAGGCTTGCCTCTCGTCAGGTTTTTTTTGTCTGTAGACAATTTAGATGTAAATATCAAAAATATCACTGACGCGATTACATATTATGTTGAAAGCTACACAATACTTTAAGGTAGATCTCAGATTATTGGGTTTCTTATATTTGGATTTTCAAGCATGGGTACCCATTGAGGCATCATACTAAATTTAGAGATTATTATAACATTTTGAATTTTCTTCAAACTGTTGTATTTGCCGTTAAGAATTACGGTCTTCTTAAATATCCACGAAATCGCACCCTGCCGGTCTATTTTAGGGTCAAAAAATTGGTCTGGTGAATTCTTGAGTTCACCGCAATAACGTATCTTTTCAGATGCAAATATCTGTCTCGGTTGTTACGAGTGCCAACGTACTCTGTAGCCAAAATGCTTCTCAATGTACTGGAAATCTAATTACTCATTGTGGTTAATGGATCTATAGTTAAATTTCTTCCCGTTCGTTTTGTAGATTTGAAGGTGCGCGGAAGTTATACTGCGGTTTGTTACCCCAATTGATTGGTGTCGCTCCAGAGAAGGCCATAAAATTGACCGTCAACGATTTTCTAAAGGATCGCTTTCGTGTACCACTAGGCCACCTCTCTCTCAAGGCGGAGGTGATTGCAGGCGGTTGTGCAGGAGCCTCACAGACCATTTTCACGAACCCAGTAGAAGTTGTCAAAATTCGCCTTCAGGTTGCCGGCGAAGTGAGTGGCTCAACCCCCTCCGCCCTGCAGGTTGGCGTTTCTCTCATTTGTGGTATGATTTCTTTCGTGCCAGTTTGCCATCATGTTAAACTCGCTCTACTCTAGTGTGTTTGCCACTAAAGGCTCCAACCCTTCTCTTCAATGAGAACGCCAAACAGGTCAATAAATTAGCTGCTATGACGTAGGGTTAGTCTAATCTGAGCATCATTTCAAGTACTTTGTGATCTGACATTGTCTTTACGCAACCGTCTACCGATTTATGTCTTACATAGTTTAAACGCGGTATACATCTTCCCATTATTTTACCTTGCTTAGACAGACTGCAACTAGAGTTAGAGACCCAGTGCAGCCTTTGAGTAATTGTGTTAAAGGTTTTGCCGCCACTTTTTATTAGATCGTACAAAAACTCGGCATCATCGGTTTGTACAAAGGAGCCGCTGTCAGCTGCACTCGGGACGTCGCCTTTTCCGCCGTCTACTTCCCCACTTACTCGCACCTCAAGGCCGCCCTCGCCAACGAGGCGGGCGAGACCTCGTCCGTCGGTCTGCTGGTTGTGGGCTGTTTGGCGGGCGTTCCCGCCGCTGTCATTGGAACCCCCGCCGACGTTGTCAAAACTCGACTTCAAGTGAGTCCTGTGGAAATCTCATTTAAGAAAAAACAAGATTCATCGATAACGCGTGTATTGTGACTGGAAAGTGGTATCGTCAGTGACTATGGTTATGAATGTGAGTACCCAGGTTTATGCTACATTCGTACATTTTCACGGCTACTTTTTTTGTTAAAGCCATCTGGAAACATTCCTTTAACTTCATTTATACCTGTTAAGAGGCCATTAAGGTCCTTTAATATGCATAATCGAAGCATGCTTTTGCAGTTTATCTTCAAACGTAGAGAAATATTTTCGACCAAGTGTGTCAGTTTTATTAAGACCTCATGTCGCTCCCATTTAATGTTCTCGTTCCTTAATCTTTTGTAGTTGTCTTATTTATTTCTGCAGATGTGGTTGGTAGAATATTTAAAATTGGTAATATCTAATTCTCAAGGTATCGCAACCCGTGATGATCAAGCGACGATACAAATTAATATAATTTTCGTTGCCAGACTTTAATGAAGATCATGTTGCAGAGTTAAGTAGACAATTTGTTTTATTATCGTTGTATTCGGATACCTCTCTTGGTCGCTGCACATGCACAGGGTGACCCAAATTTCAAATAAATTGAATAAAACTATATTACTCAAATGCCCACAATGTAAACCATTATTTTCAGTACAGATACCATGTCGTTTAACTGCTGCTCTTTGTATATGTTTAGTGTAAGCTCTTTCAGCTGTTTGGGTACAGTGGTCCGCAGGCTTACATGCAATAGCCTATAACATTTGGAGTATTGGTGAGAGTGAGGCAATCTAAAGCCTTATTGATCATCTGTTGGATAACCTCGGCACTTGCAGTCGCATCAGAAGTCACCCAGACACTGTATAATATGAGGCGGCTTTTTATTAATGCCTTTGAGCAATTAGGAAAGACGCCACATGTCACAGCATTTTTCTTCTGTAAACGTTTTTTTCCAACGTTTTTTCTTAACTGACGGGTGCAACGTGCATGCGCTAAATTAAATTGAATCTCCATTGCTCTTCGTCAATCGCGCTTATTATATGGCCAAGTTGATCTTCTGCATGTGAATGTGAATTTAGGAGGTACTAATAAATTGAGCTACGGGGTCGACTAAATGATTTTCTGGAGTATTTGTCGATTGAGGCTGTATCGATTTCGTGAAGGAAGTGGTGATTTTGTTGTTACCAGGTTCAAATTTTTTGTGACATGAGCTCTGATGGCAATTTAGTTGCTTGCGAGCAGCATTTATCGTCGCACATTCCACAGAAAGCCATTTATGATGCTAAATCAAATCTACGTTGTAGAAGGAAGTTGTAAATCGATTAACTTGATTCGGCATCCCAGCAAAACTCGATGCATATTTTTGGTCAATGTCACAAACTACTTCCTTGGGTTATCAGTGTAACTTCAGTGTAACCTCAAACCTAACCTCTACACGCTACATTTAGAGGTTTGTGTAGCGTTTGAGGACTATCCGACAAGGTAATAATTTAAACAAATTTTTTGCCTGAAAATACCACAGTGAGTGGCATGGAGACCTATAGTATTTGGTTTTTACGAGCAGGACCTTCAAAAAACGAAGGGCCGTGCATGCGCTGCCTGAGAAGGACACCACTATGGCTCTGAATTATTCACCACGAGGTTGTGGAGGTCCAAATAACTGCACTATTACCACCTACTTCGTAGAATGCCACGGTGGAATTTTTTACTTCTATACAATTTAATCAGGTGTTACTCTTGCTTTTTCACCTCTTCGTTCAATTTGAACAGACTGGATTTTAAGGGCTTGCTGTGCCAACCTCATTGATTGTAAAGACAATTTGAACGTGCTTCGTACTCATTATGCAAAAGTAGCAACATGGTGTCGAAGAAATGAATGTGATCAGTTACTGCCTTTCTGTAACCATCGGTAATGATGCTCACTCAATGAAATTTCAGTTGCTGCACAGATCTCCACTTAACATCGAGAGCTTTCTATTGGTTGTGATTAGCAGTTGAAATAGCTTTAATGAGCAGAAGCTTTGTGATGAGTCGTACGGATCTTGGACTTAATCAAGAAAAATGTCATTTTGGCTTTACGGTAGGAAAGTTAATTCAGTTCTGAGCAATGCTTAAGCGTGATCCGCTTGTAAATCATTCACTATCAAATGACTGTTATCTTTCTGGCAACCTAATAACTCTGTTATCATAAAACCTAAGGGCCTGATCGACAAAAACTCTTAAGACTATCATCACTTTCAATAAAATTTGGAAATTTTAAAATAAGTGGTATAAGGTCAAAGCTATATCACCCCCCAATCACGTTCAAATAATTTTCCAACAATTAAAATGTTATGTGATGTCGTGCATTGTCAAGGTGGAACGCGATCACTTCGCGATTTCCCATTTCTAACTGTTTTTCTTTGCTGCCTTCTTCCTTTATCGCCTGTTGCCTGCAGACATCTAAGCTAGCTTCTTTTGAACTGCTTAAAGTGCGGGGCCTTCTAAATACCACTAAGTTAGCGCGATCTCCTGCCTTTTCCACAGTCTGAATTGGTTTACACCGTTTAGACCTTAATTGTTTTAATTTAGGATGTCATCATTGGTGATGAATCGTTTCACAACGTTGTGTTTTCATCGCGTTCAGGATGCATTTCTCAAAAATTGGCTGTCTTTGTTAAGGATAATTCCTTTCATTCATGCGAGGCCATGTATCGGGCTTTTCACGACTCCAACACCCTTACATTTATTTTCAGCAGTCGTGTTTGGTGCGTTTGACTCCTTTTCGATTTTGCACAGTTTCGATTTGGTTGACCGGTGCGTTAGTTCACTTTGATGGAAAATTCTTCATTACAGAAATTTCGAAGCAATTCTGACAAGCACACTTTGCTAAGCAATCGAAACCACTGGTGTTTCTTACAAATTTCAGCAGCTTTCTTGCCTTCACGGAATTAAGCAAGGCATGCCAAATATGTTCGTTTTTTATCATAATGCTAAACCTGACACTGGACTAGCAGCTGTAAGCAATTGCAAGTAAGTAAGCGATTGCATTTGTTGTTGCAAAGCTTTTTTGATATCCGGCTCATCCTGTCTGGTAGCTGCATAACTCTCCAGAATCCTAAAGTAGTTAAATGCGCAAGTCTTGATAAATATCATTGGAAGTTCAAATTACTGACTAATTTAATGCGTTTTGTTGACATTATGAAGCACTGTTATTTTCGTGAACTGTCTCTTTTTTGGAACTCGTCAAGTAATGCTCAATTCCAAAGGTTTTATGGTGCCACTGGAGAAGTGGCCATGTTAAGACCTGCAAATGTTCTTTTTTAAACACACTCGTCCCATTACTTCGCGATTTTATGTCCACTGCAGCAGTAAAATCTACGGGATAAAAACGTCTTTCTAATTCTTACCGCTGACTCTAAAAGAAGAATTTGGTTCCATGAAACACGTTCAATTTTGTGAGCGTGAGAATACAAACGCCATAAGTCGGATAGGAAGCCGTTGCTGAAGTCACTCGACCTTATCTTCTGACAATTTATGCATTTTGCTATGCGAGAATATTTGTAGCGATGAGTACCTACCTCACAGTTCTATTCTTCATTACAACCCGAGCAATCTAAAAATGAGGATAGTTAGAAGACAGCACCATTATGTGAATAGGGCTAACTGATCATCTCCCAGTCACAGTGGGCCATTGCAGTGTGTGCGTCTGCGTATTTATTGAATGCTATGTATGCATTTAAGTTTGGCGATATGCAGGAATCAATGAACAGTCAGGGTGTGTTCGTAAATACGGATCAACTTTAGGCATATTCGGGCCAGCTTCTGCTGATAAGCTTCCACTGGCAGGCTGTCACGAGCACCGCAAATGCTGGTAGAGCTGCCTCGTCCTGCAAACCATCCGCTTCAGCTATTGCCTCTCCCCACAGTCTTGTGGTTTTGCATACACCCAAACCACTACGTTTGTTGAATACCATTGGCTACCATCAATTTAACTCGGAAAAAAAGTAAAAAAACAGGAAAATCCGTAAAATAGATAAGATTTTCGTTTGTGTCATGATTTCTAATCGGTAATTAATAACTGTTGGCTGTTTCACGAAGCTATTGATGCAGATACATTCTTTGCCATGTCTGCCACTATTTTAAGTCACTTCTATAGTTATTGACATCATGTAGGAACCCTAGATTGCGGTCTCTGTGACTGTCTCTGTGGCTGGTGCACTTTTGTGCCAATAATTATTTTCAGTGCCTTATTCATCTGAGCTAAAACAGAGAACTGTGTGTTGCCTGCAAATGTCTTTTTCACTTGAACATCGCGTTGACGACTTGACGTCTGTGCCACGAGTACATCGTGCAAGGCGGTAGATGTGTCCAGACGTCTCTAGTAGTATCGCCTTCCATAGCTTGTTTCAATCGTATTGTTTTGCTCAAAATAGCAAGCAGAAATCCCAAACGAAGTCTGCATTCAAACATGTCTTTATACGACCCAGGTATGCTTGAGCGTTGGTGTGCCTATTAATGTTGTTGGTCTGCTGCTTTTAACTATCTTGGCACCCTAAATGTGGCCTGCACGTGGTAAAGTAAGTCTGTATTTGGGTGATCTGTATGCGACTTTGCCAACACACACATGTTTAACAAATTGACAGAGGCTTTTCCAAAGTGACATATGCGAATCGTGAGGTCTTTAGACTCTGTACTGTGTTTTCTACCTTGTTTCTTGGATCACCACAACTTAAACTTGGTCAGTGTTCATTGTGTGGTATTGGGTTTGCCCTTTTATTTCATCGCTGTTGTTTAAGTTAATTGAAGGAGCACATCACACCAACATTTTCGGGGGAAACGCATACAAACATTGCGCACTCGTCAAAACCCGGTAACTGAACTCGTTGATTTCATGTTGGAGATCGCGTTTATAGCACAAGTGCTTATATTTCCAAAGTGTTTGAGTTGGGGTGCTGCATTCATTAGTGTAGCATTGTCTTGACAAGTGTCGCTTCACGCTGTTCGATGCATTAGGGGACCAGGGTCTTGTGTAGGGTCCTGCATTTCCCCCGTCTCCGTACTTATAGTTCCAGGTCCCTCCCAACATCTGTCTGCAGTGTGGTATTAGTGTGGCGGCCCCGTGCTAGTGCCCTGGGACTTTTAAACCATGCTCCTTACCCCTGTCACTATGGGGTAATTTCGTGATCACCTGCGAAAACTAGCATGGAAACTAACCAGATTCAAGACACGGGGGTGCCCCTGAGGCAAGGCTGCTATTGTATATCTCGCTTTATTTCCACTTTTATCATGAATTAGCACGCTTCAATGCCTCTCCAAAAGGCTGGCAGGAGAATCGCCCCACGGATCTAGACTTAGCACACCTGCAGGACAAGAACGCGTAATGGAATTAAATTAATGCGAAACTGAGGAGGCAGGCTGCGTGAGCCGTTGCAATATTTGGGTGCTTTTTTTGCTAAATGTCGTTGCATCATAGATTGCGACTGAGTTGTTTTGTCTTATTTTGCATATCCTCCATCCCAGCGCTTTTATAGCTTCACTCTTATTCGTTCTCCAAAAAGGTATAAAATTCGAACGTGCAAATTGCGTTCGATGTGGCGAAACGCCACGGAACCGATTGTTGGTCATTTCCTGCAACATTGTTCTGGTATTTTGAAATGGTGCTTTTGCACCTGTCCTCACACAAATTCAAGTACCATCTGGATGAGCTAAGGATGCTCTTCAATGCTCAACTTCAAACCACTTCTTGATGTACTTTGGCACGGTTGGTTATTGCACTTGTTAAACAAAACGAGTAGATGAATATATTGCCGTGTGCGTTTTCTTAAATAAGTTTAAGCGTTGGTTAGTAAATTATGTGCCAGTGTTATTGTTTTTGTGGTTATTTGATGAAACAAGAACGTTGTGTTACGTTGTAAAGCTGGGGCTGAACCGTTGGTAGCTGTTTCTTAATTACAAATCGGTGGCAAACACGAAGTAAATTGGGCGTGCTCTTGTTTGCATTCTAAGTTTAATCAAATAAAAGAAGGTCTATTTGCATGAGATCGCATTTCGGGTTTGTCGTTCAGGCCCAAATTTTGTGCACTGAACTGAAAAATTGTCTATTTGCAGGGATACTGCTGGCGTGTTAAAACGAACTGGGGACTGAGTTAATCAGTGGCGTTATTGTGCGTGTTATGAAGATTACTGGAAGCGTATTTCTCGATGTTTGTGTCATTTGTGTGACGCGTTGCGTCAATTTTAACGGCTTATAGTAACGGTGTTTTTATTGCTAGCGCTGTTCTGACTTTTCATTTGCGTGAGTCGAGCACTGTTAAAAGCCTTTAAAATTTCCTACGCACTTTCTAGGTCGGTTATAATTCGATCGCAGGATTTTTGTAGGTTACCTGTTGCAATTTTAAATTTATTTTTCTGTGTTGTGATATTCGTTTATGTTTATTGTACAGGTTGCCGTACGCCCAGGTCAGGCTGCTTATGATGGTATCTTTGATTGCGTTTTACGAATGTACCGTGAGGAAGGTAGCAGGGCCTTCTGGAAAGGCGTCATGCCACGTGTCTTACGTTCGAGCCCTCAATTTGGCTTCACAATGCTCGCTTACGAGATGCTTCAGTGGTTCTTTAATGTTACCTTTTGATTCCTAAGCTCAGATTTTACAAACTAGTTGTTTGCTGTAAGTACATAGCTTTGAATTAATGCAAATGAAATGACTTTTTTACCCATTTTTACACTTAAACTAGTAATTAGTTTTAGAGAAATTCAATTTAGCTGTTTTTTTCATTAAGTAATTGAGCGTTGACAAAACCTGGGGATTAAGCAGGATGAACATTAGCCTAGGTTTTTGCCACATCGTGGTTTTCTTAAAAACCATAATGGCAACATCAAGGCCTTAGTGTCATTTCCAATGACTTTTAGGACTTCATCGGAAAATTGGGCAATTTGACCGCCGTCTGCGCCTGCTAATACATGATTTTATACTTCAGTTCTCCTTCTTAACTTTCAATTTCTGTTGTTCGGAACGTATTCAACCTTAGTTTCCAAGCATATTTCCATTTTTTGTATATTATTATTTTCTAAATAAAATAATGCTTTCCGGCATTTTCGGGAACCTGAATATACCTAGTTGCATTTCCGCAATTGCTGTCAATAGTTCTTTGCCGACCTCGCCGTTTTTCATTTAGCTCTACATGTGTCGGAATACTTCATTGCAGTTTAGCGTTCATTGGCGTCTTATATGACAAACGGTTCTTCTCTGTTCCCTTTTTAGCATCAGTGTGTGCCCTACTATTGATTAATTGGCTTAGAGAACATGCCTCCATCCAAATTAGTTACGTCTAACTCCCAACTTTGCCCAAATCGACCAGGCTAAGTAATTTTTATGTTCTTGCCTCATTGACCTGACCTCACCACGTAGCCACGTTCGGTTTCCGAAATGCTGCTTCGTTTTAGTGTAGTTCTCAAATCGTCAAGTAGCATGACTGATTGAGATTAGTCGACACCTCGAAATTTTTGTTAACAAGACAATCATGTATGTTGTTTGTGAGCGCCTAATTGGTGCCGAATAAAGAACACATGCTACTTTTGAATATGACACGTTTTGGTTAAACAAGTTTAGCGGGAGCCCAATATAGAACATACTTCAATACGTTTATAGCGCACAAATTTTCTTCAGGTGAAAAGTGCGCAAATACCTTTTCATCCGTATGGGCTGCCAGGAATTATGCCCACTGTCTGATAGCAAAATATTTGGGGCTGATCTCTTGAAGTGTGCTGCTACAAATTACGATGGAGTTGTACGGTTAATAATGTTTTCGGTCATATGAGAGTACGTGATTTTGCGTCTACCGCTGTCGTTATATCGCAAAATTGCCGATGCTTTCTTAATGCAATTGCAGCGGCTGTTGTTTCACGTCTTATTCACGACGGGACAAGACAGCAGTCATAAAAAGCCGTCGTTGAGGATACCAATAGTTCTTTTAAGCGAACGGTGATCAATGTTCGGGTTTAAATGTCAAGCAACACACTCCATTTTTTATATATAATGGCTGTTGTTTCAACTTCTGACTTGGCATTTACAACTTAACTGACATTGATTAGGTGTGGTGTAAATTTATTTGTAGTAAAGGTTTTCAGTCCAAGCTTTCAATATTTTGACCCTGTTGGTGTCATTTTTGGTTCCCATGGTTAATGCAATCGTTTTAGGGCTTTGCCACATGTTTAAAATCACTTTATCTGGGTTTAGTTATCCTTAATAATCCGTGTAAAAGACGTTTCACAATTAAAAAAAGTCCTGCCATACTTTCCCGGCGAGATATCTACTTTGTTAAGCAAGTGTTTCAGTGGGTACTGTAGATTCTAAATAGACACCATTTCAACACTTAGACACATTTCAACAGTTATGTTAAATGTTAACTGATGGGATTTACAAAAAGCTCAAACATTTTCTTACTGCTACCCTTAGAGCCTAATTTCATCATTTTGTCATTCTATAAACTTGGATGTGCACTTAAATGTTTCTTGCAGTGCTACACATATACATTCTTGCAACATATAAACTAACGGGAAGTTCGGTAAACTACCTATTTTTGAGGTATACCTATGGAATCCAAGTTATTTAACGTCAATATGCGGTGATCGGAACCACAGTGTGTGCTAGATCTGAAAGCCTGTATCGCGAAATGTGACTCAATACATGTATACAATTATTATGCTAAGACACATTTGCCTATAGATTTTTCAGCGCTGCCATTAGTTAGTTCTGCATACTGCAACTTCGACTTGTTAGCAAACTTGATTTGCTTATCCACAAACAATTTAATAATACTTAAAGCAATCAAATACAAGGTCTTCACAATTCACCGCCGGAGCTGTGACCTCACATATTAGCGGCTAAGTTCGTGTCATAAAGTTTCAATTGGTAGTTACCAGGAGCAAACCCTGTTGATACTATTAAGCGTCTCACGCTCAGTTTAATAACTACCTGTTCCACAAATACCTACTACGTATGTAGGTCGAAAACACCCGTAACCCTTAGGGCTCATACGGAAATCGGGTAAACGCAAATGCTGCAAGAAACTATCCTTTCCTTACGTAAAATAAGGACTCATCGTAACAAAAAAATCAATATTCTATCACTTGGAAAAGCACAATGTAAAGTAGGTAGTGGGCAAATGTGTAAGCAGCGCGCTCAAGCCTGAGAGACGGTGTTTAATACTAATGTTTCTTGATCATTGCTGAGAGACTGCTGCAGCGTCGGCTTCTGGAGTTGGAGTTCCCTCGGCACCATACTTCACAAGCAACTGGTGAAGAGGATCAGTAATTGTGCGATACTCGTCAACAAATTCTTTCATACTTTTCAAAACCTTAAATAATATGGAAAAAACAAGTCTTGAGGCTAGAGCGGTTTTTCTGGTAACACATACAATGTAAAGCGTTATGCACAACTAGCGTCGTCGACACGCGACAGGTAACAGTACTCTTCCGCGTTGTTAATTTAGCTCACCGAATTTAAGTACAATGCAATGCGACATGTTAGCGAATTCACATTAACAAGTGAAAAAAGGCTTCAGGCGATGTGCAAATAACTACTTTCTAGGTAAAATTTTGCCACATATTGAGTGCAGAGATTGGCAGCATAAACAAAGAAAAAATTCCTGGCACGTTTTCTTTATAACACGAATTACCTGTGTTTCCATGTTCGGCTGGTTGTAAGCCAAACGCAGCAGGAATGTCTTTTTGTCAGGGAATAACCTTAGTCCAACCTAAAATGCAGGCATTTAAAAAAATAAGTCAACAGTCAAAAATCGATGCAGTATAAAGTAATATTAGTGCGCCAGCCTGGTTTCAACAGCTACAGAATATTGCAACACACATCGCAAACTATGTTTGGGAAGAGGTAGTGACATGAAAATCACAATAATGTCACACTCTCTATTGCTTACGCAAATTGGACTATCAGTTGGAAGAGAAAGGAAAGCAGCACTTACACTAAATGCGCTTTTCATTATGATGTTGTGATGCTTCATCAGCGTCCTTTCGTAGGCGGGATAGACAATGTCCTTCATTTCAAGATTTGGTGACTCAGCTAATCCAGCCAAAACTTCAATAATTAACTCTATGGCCCGTTTTAGCCACAACAAGGCCATTGTTCCCGAATCACTATTCTTATTCACCTTTACTTCAATTTCTTTAATTAACATCTCTTCAACGGTTGTGACGTTGTATTTGTGCCGCGCTTTGTCAATTTTCTAAAACACAAATACATCGACAAATTATCCATAAATGTGCATATAATTGTGCAAATTAAAACTAATTTCTAATACAAACATGCAAAATTTACGTAAATGAAGTTTTAGTACGTCTGTTTGGTTCTAACATTCATCAATACTCTTAAGCTCAACCTGAATGAAATGGCAAACGTTAAATAGAAAGACAAACGCTCACGGCTTTGTAACAGCCATTTTATGTAAGGAACATTTCGTTTTCTTCGAAATTTTAACTTTAATCCTCATTCACTTTGCCTCCATCGAATTTAACGTCCTATAAACAAAATTCTTTACTCCAATAAATGAAGTTTGTAAAAAAATGTGAATATCTGAGTCCCATAACTGATATGATGCTTTGACTTGGACACGGAATAGTACACGTAGCTCGTTATAAGTGGGTACTCTCAACTGCTTTATTTGTCAGATTTAAAAGAGCATTCCAGAAGTTAACGTGAGCCAATGTTGACTTATTGAAAAAACCAAATAAACGGAAAACACTGAAAGTACTTTGCGAATATGCCGGTTGCAAAGTTGTTCCAAATTATGGAATACTATCCCAGTGATTAAAAAAAGCCTCAATGCAACTACAAAACCAGGATTGATAAATCTTTGTGATAGGACTCTCAAAGGCACAAAACGTGCACCTAGAATATAAAAACCTGGTAGTTGAGATGATTATGAACGTCCTCATAAATGTATTTTTTGCGTAATTGACTACGTAAATCGACCCTAATACAATTAGGAAATAGCACCATTAACCGACTCTGATCTATGCACATTGTAAAGCTTAACAATCCTCACGAAAGGAACGGGGCTGATTTGCAAAACATAGGAAACATCCATAGAGTGAGCCTTTAAAAACCACGGAGCTTAAAATGAATATCCATTGAAAGCACATTAACTGGGTGCTAAAATAACTAGTGCACAGCTCTAATATTTTGGTCAGTCAATAGAATACCAGTGTGAAAAGTGTAAATTGCACTAAAACGGGAGTACCAGGATAAATTAAAAATATCATGAAGGTAAAGACACGGAAAAACTGCCATTATAACTAAAGTCCGGTTTGCTCTGAAAAAACCGGACTTAATTAACACAAAGCTTAACATTATCATTAAAACCTTACTTTTATATTCCCGCCTACATCCTTTTTAACAGGAGCCAGGGCGACGCTTTGCAATTCTATGGACAATATAAGTAATATTAATGAAATATTACCACAGAACTCAATGATGACGCCCGAAAACCGTAACAATTCCTCAATGTTAAGGACAGTTTCACATGATGGGTTTTTTGAAAATTTGTCGAAAAAGGTGGAGGACTCTCCAGACATGCTTGGTGGTCTCAAACTGTTTATGTGACCTCTAAATTAAACTAGCGCTTCACAAAGGCATAGTTAAACAAAGCCTTACAAAAATCAAAAAGAAAGTTAGTTATTGATTGATAATAGGTAACGTCAATTTTACAGTATTATATTTTTCATAATACTTTAACAGAAATATCACTAAAATGTTAGTATTTTTAAGTAGCTTGCACTCTGCTTTGCTTCCTGAAATATGCTCCTTATATCATATTTACAATGCTGAACATATTTTAGAGGATCTGCTGCTGTTCCTGGTTTTTTTGTCCGATCAGCCATAAACGCTGTCATAACCACTAAAAATGTCATCTGGCGATAAATATTGTCGGCTACCGCAACGTTTGTGCTGAACTTGTAGTAGTTAGTCCGTGAGTTTCTGAAAATGAAGTTAAAAATATGTGGTTAGAATAAAGGTAACTTTTTAAAAACAAATAGGTTAAGGTTTCCGGAGGATTTAGTGTAGCAGTCTCAAGAAGGGATCGCCAATTTCAGTCGTGTCAATGAGAAGCACGGCTTTTTAGGGCTGATGCAATAACTTCTAGAAATATTAAATTTGCATTTTCAATCAAATAGCCTAATAGTTAGAAAATATTTTAAATTCTCCTTGAGGTATATGACATGCTGAACGTGATTACCTTGATATAATTAGCCATTTTTTATTTTTCACAAACGTTTTGCCTATTGTCGATGAACTTTCAAACTTTGAAATATTTATTATAGCTCCTACAATGGTTACATCGTCAGAGTATTGTAATACATTTATCATTGCATCAGACTCTAAGCGATCAGGCGTGATTGAAGCCTGTCTGCTAAGCTGATGTTGCTAATGCCTCATTCCTGTTTTATTGGTTACTGTTATCAGTTGATTCTCATCCGCTCACGCATCCTCTGTAAAATACCCGAGCCCCAGTATGAAGAAGACCGGTACAACAGAACAATGGTTATTAACCAGTTACAAGCCAGACCTGTACATCCGAGTCCTTTACGCTATCTGTGACGCTCATTGTATACTGCTCACATACGTGTCTGTCTCTGGTTGACTGCATGTTTTCCCCGAAGATCATTTAATTGCAGATTTGGAGCATTGGTTGAGGCTGGTATGGTCCACTATATCTGCACATTGTACGTCACTGCACCTCACATAAACCTATACTTAACTGGCTTGACGCTAATAAACGGTTCTATTTGCTGTCGCCTATTTCCTCTCTGTTCTTGGGCTGTTAAAAGCTACCTGGAGGGTTCCATGGTAGTACTAGCATTCCACTACACTTTGTCTTTACTGAATGGACATTTTTAACCTATCACAATCCTTTGTTCTGCTAGTAATAATTGGCCTTATTTACGTCAGCTTTCTTCTCAACAGTTTCAGACTAGAGTTAAAGCTAGAGAGTTACCTCTCAGCCCACTCAAGCATTCACACTTTGTTCCGCCTCTACCAGCAGATATTGCTAATAAAGCTATAGATCTGATTATTGAAACAGTAGCATTCAAATTGACAACAAGTTGAAAGATGCTGTTATTTCACGAATGACAATCACAAAAGAGGCTCGTCTTCGGTACTTCACTTCGGGCATTGAACTGGGTGGCAGATCTCATTTAGAAAGCCTTCGGAATATGTGCCATCCAGCTGATGATAACAAGGTCAATGACTCTGCCCTGCACCAGTTATTTGCTAAATGCCTTCCGGTAGACATTGATATCGTAAGTTTGAGTCTGGATACCCTGCGGTGCCCTAAATCATGTCATAATTCCCAACCTGTGCCCCCTCCTCACATCTACGATTTTGCTTTGGATTTAAATGGTGCTAAAGTCTTCTCAAAACTTGACCGTTTTCAGGCTTATCATCTTGTACCTCTTGCCCACTAAACACGTCCCTGAAACTGTTTCTTTTATACCTTTAGGGTTTATTAGGTTTTCACAAAAACCAAAAGGCTTTCGTGGTGCAGCGCAGACTTTACAGATAGTCATGGATCTGCGTGGTATCGACTTTGTATTTGTTTATATTGACAAATTTTTATTGCCAGCAAAGACAATAGCGAGAATTCGCGGCACTTATTTGAAGTCTTTACACGTCTTACAGCCTATAGCATTCTAATAAACCCTCAGAAATGGGTTTTCGTTGTGGACAGTGTCGAGTTTCTCGGACATTAAATTGGCCAACTACTACGTACTATTCATTCTAAATGCCGCTGAAATTATGTATTTCCCGAATGATTTGCTTTAAAAGGATTCCAAGAAACTGCCTTTCAGGCTACTAAGGATGCCATAAAGTTGTTTTACTGGAAGAAGTAAGCAAAGTTTGTTGTACGAACGGATACTTCTCAAATAGCTGGACGTTCAGCCTGAACCATTATCATTCTTTCCTCGAAAGCGTTAATCGGATCAGTCATGATGCTGCACATTTTCTACAGAACTATTGGCGATCTATCTTACTGTGAAACATTTCTATCTCCCACGTAAAGGGCATGAGATCGCAATATTTATCGATAATTAGCCATTGATTTATACCATCCGTGAAGCGTTTAATCTGTATTCCCCACGTGATTTCAGATACCATGGCTATGTTTCATATTTCACAACAGCTATTTGCCACGTTGATAGGTTTGATAACTTTGTTCCTAAGCTTTTGGGTTCTAGTATCGACCTTGAACCTTTAGCTGCGGCGCAGACGAATGACCCTGAAATTCCAGTCTTAATCTGGAAGAGCTGCCACTCCTTAACTGTAGTTCGCTATTACACGGTCGTAGTCACTGTCGCCTCTTTTGGCTTCACTTTTACGGTTTTTATGACTGGTTACTAGACGGTTATAAAGTAGCGTTAAGCAAGTCACTTCACTGTTATCTGTGACTGCGATCATTTGCACATCTCAAGTTCATTTCTTGTTTCACACACCTGCACTCACACATCCTGATAGATCTGTTGCACTCTATATGTTTCCTAAACAGTGCCAATTGAAGTGTACAAAATCATGCGAAAATGAATAAATCGGAGAACTTAGATACCGCGCTTGAATAAAGGAAACATACCTTACCATGTATCAACTTTAATGAGAGATGACAAGTCAACCAGCCCTACAAAAGACACGAACTTGTACCAGGCAAGGTTTGAGTGATTTTTAAAAGCGTCTGCTAGTCTCGCCTCGTTTACTTCGGAAGGTATTAAACCTGATAGTAACTGAGATTCGAATCACTAAGAGCAATAAAATGATGTTTGACTTCCAAACTAATACCACAGTTTTTTTACTAATCCCCTTCACTACAATTAATGATCGCATCAACAAACTTGCCCACAAAGGCTCTTGCACTTCATTAATTTGAACAAATGCCACCCTAAGAGCAAGGCATCTAAATTTACATTGGGTTTTCAATGTAGGTGGCCAATAATAGTTTAAAAACGAAGGATTACTTAGTCCTATATGTGTAATCCACTTAAAATCATATAGAAAACTAACGAGTTAAAAATAGCTTTGCTCAGATAAATTAATTAGCAGTTAAAAATTTCTTCAGAAAATTCAGTAATTTTTTGTCTGTTACGATGTGCTCTTGAATTCGCTCATACATTTGTTGGCCAAACGTTGCTTGCTTTTAAACTAAATTATGACTAACAGAAGTGGATTCTAGTTGCATTTATTTTAAGGGACAAGAGCTTAGGTGCAGACCGATTTCGTATATTACATGAAAACGGACTTTACAAATTAGTGATACACAAATTTTTCATCAGCAGAGAAGTTATTAAAAATATACAGGCATACATCAACTTCATAGTAATTTGCCAAACAGAGTGTGCTTGAACTAAAAAAGGAAAAGATCACTGGAAATACTTCATGTAGGGCTAAAGGCGCTCAGAGCTTCCCGACGGCATACTGCAGTCCACTTCTTTGTCTGCAAAATAAGAATTTAGGCAAATAATATATTGTGGCTAAAAATTATCCTGTAAATTGTTTTTTTTTTAACAATTAGGTGTAAATTTATTGGCACTTGAACAAATAAGGAACCTTATTTTCCGAAGTGGATATTAAAAGTTCGTTGAATATGCTTCACTAAATTTCAATCTTTACTAAATTGACAATGGGTGCAAACTTTAACAGGGTTTGAATATTTACATAAAAATATTTAATCAACGAAAAATTATAATATTCTCAAACTTTCTACCTTGTCTGCATAACAACTAAATAGAAAGCTTTATTAGATAAAAAGCAATGTAAATTTATTTCAGCCTATTTACGACATTTGAAAAATGTGCGGAATCTGAAAACACTCAGTGGAGCCTTTTTATCCAGTTTTTGCCGATGCTAAACTGAATGCGGCTCTAACGGCTAAAAAATGTTAAGGGTAAAGAATTCAGCATATGTTTAGCATTCACAAAATCATTTTCAGGCGTTACAAGCTGTTTGAACTTACAGGCAATGGCAGTGGAATAAGTAATATGGTGGTTTTATTTTCGGCAAAACTAAGATGCCATTGCAAATTTAAATTAGCGAGTAAGTTAGCTTAATTATTTTATCTGCGTCAAATCCGTTGTACCTTAAAACTTACCATCCTGCTTCTGTATTCCACACAGTACCTTTGATTTAGAGAGCAACTCAGTCTCTTCTGCCTTACTTTTCAATTCGAATCTGCAGTGTTTCTTTGGCGTTGCTTCACACACTCTTGAGCTGATTTGTCCTTTTTCAGTTCTACCTTGAATCACTGATGCCCTCTTTTGGGATAATCCGGTAAGCCCATTCGCCAATTCCCGGTCACACTGCACCCTATTTATCAAGACTATTTCGTCACGAACTTCACCCACGTTCAGTTTTCTATATACATCCTGAGTGAAGAATTCAGGCTTGAGCGACATGTATTTTTTTTCGATGGTCGCTTTGATTTCTTTAGGGAGACGGCAATTAAGACTGTTGTAGGCCTTTTTTTCGTTTTCTGTTGAGCTAACAGGAGCGTCGTTAGGTACCTGTGACGGCAGATGAATCGACTCGTAAGTAGCTAATTTTGGCTCAAATAGTGCTGGATTGGATGTTACCATGTAGCCGATGGGAACAACATCACTTGAAGTACCGACCGAAGGGCCCTTACGACTGCTAGGATGGGATGAGGAAGAGAGTAAAACAGCTGGAGAAAAACGGTCATAGACGTCACCATCCAGATGCATCATCGGAATCTTTCTGTGCACTGGAGTTTCTGTGAAAGGGAAGACAGGTTTGCCTGCTGATTTCTTGTACAATAGGGTATTTTGGTTAAACATTTGTGCTGAATGTCACGTTGCAAAGAAAACTTAAGCTTTTATTAGGAAAGTAATTTTCTGCTAATAACAATTTATTTGTGATGAATTTCTTTAACTTGATTCTCAACCATGGCCACTTTGATCATTTAAGAATTGCATTCATCATGTCTTAAAAAAGAGAAGTTAAGCATGTTTCTTTTGTATGGTAATTTGTTTTTTATATATGGTTGGATATTTTTAGCTTATTTAAATTAAATTAAAGAAAATCGTCGCATATGTCGTAATTAGAGAAAAGCTGATTAATGGAGAGAATAAGGTAAAATTAAAACTTGCAGATGTTGTAAGGAGCTGTTGCGTAATATACTATTATGAACTGAGTAGCTAAGATAAGGCTGTGTTATATGAACTATTAGAATTATTGCTTTTTTGGTATAGAAAAGGAATGATAGTTGCATGGACGTCTCGGAAAGTGGTCATATAAGTTGCTCTTCACCGACAAAATTACAAAATTCATACCAAATTGATTTCTTGCATTTATACATGATCGTCAGATTATAGTTATCTGAATGCAATTTTAGTGGCAAGTATTTTATCTAATTCTTCAACTTTGAAGCTTAAACAAAATTACGAGGAACATGGCTAAAATTCAACGAACACGAAATTCTTCATATCGTAATGAAAATTTAGATAGCAAATTTACCGAATGGATCCAAACTTAAAACTAAAAAGTGGAAACTGCAATCGAGAGTTAGATTTTTCCCACTTACATCTACTGTCAGGAATTACATAGACGGCTGTTAAGTTTTTGTTCTTTGCTGCGACCAAAACTTGTGGTAAAGGTAAAATTGTGTTTCATCGTACAGTAGGGTTAATGTAGATTTTTAGAGTAAGTTCCATTACATTTGTTTAGGAGCGGTTACCCATTTGATTAATTAATCTATTTTGCTCATTGACAAGTTCTAAGTCTCCAATGAGGCACAGAAGTATTGAAGTTACGTCTGCAATTGCAAAACCCTTAAATTTAACAATGATTGCTTTTCCCATTTATAAAATGAATTATGTCTCTCTCAAGCAAACAGTAAGAATAAGCCAGACAAATGTATAATGCTTCTTTTTAAATGAAGTGAGTAACAATTATTACTGGCACTTAGATGAGCTCGCCCTCTCAGTTTCATCTTAGTATGATTTAGCAAGCTATTATTTCTTGTGTTTTAAATTATCATTTATAAAAAATGTGGAAACAACTCTACATTGTCATAATTTGTCTCGTTAAACGTGGTGAATGCAGGAAGAGCTAGTCAAGCCTCACTCATATATCTCGGGGAAACAAGCAAATGTCGATTGGCATGTTGGCAGTTCACAAACACTTGGAGTGGCGCAAAATTGCCAACTCCTGTGGGCCCACACGGATGACGACTGCACACCATGACCAAGATGGAAGTTACACAGGATACAGAAGGTGATGGAAAAAATATTAAGGTTTATTTATCACTGGAACCATCTTAATTGTCGGTGATGGTAGTGCTGAATCAATTATTGATGTGAGTTTATTAGCGGATGTAGGCCAACTGAATGAGGTATACCTCTCAATAATTATTTTGGAATATTAAGAATAGGGAAATTTTGATTTGAAACATCCAACATTTTTTGTTTCAAGATGCACAAAAAGTCAAACGTTAATGTTCCAAAATGATCATGCTAAGATTTACTCGAAAGTCCAAACTTTCATGAAGTCTTTATCATGCTATGCAATTAATGTGGTAGAAATGAGTTCAAAACGTTTTGATGGCCTTTAAATGAATGTTTTGTTTGATGAAAGATTGACCAAACCTGGCTAGCCAACACCTTTTTTAATAAAGGAATCCGAAAAGGCTGTTAGCAAATCCCTGAAATTACATTGGTAAAGGTACGAATCATTCCTGCATATTCTAACAAAGGCAATATATCATAGAAATACAAAACAAACGGCTCAATCCTTTTGCATGGATATATTTGGTGTTATAAACAAGCATTATTACTTTCTTAAGGAATTCAATCTATTTGTATTTTTAAATTGGGAGCTGCACGGGAACACTCTTTCTGTACTTCCAGGTATTATGGCCTAAAATCTTAGGAAAATACTTTTCAATGACTTTATGTTATTCTCTTATTAGTGTTCCTTATAAATTTGTTGTTTTTTGCATGATTCGTGTCCTCTAGAGAATCTTGATAAATATGAACAAAATGAAATCAGCTAGTCATTCAAACACTTACTTTAAAGCTGGATTATGATTCGGTATTAGGGCAAGAGAAATGCAATAGTAAATTAATGTTTGGAGGAATAAAATTTTTTTATAGGATTTATTGCCCAAAAACACCAAGCCGGTGTTTTTTAACACTGGCTTGTGTGATTTAGTATAATTTATCAACGATTTGCAAACTTAGGATAAAAATTAAACTTGTTATCTTACACAAAATCATGAAATGTAGCCCCACAGTATCATTAATGCCAAGTAATCACAGTCAAAGATAATGTACCGATATTAGCCACGGACTCATTATTTGTTTACAAGTAAGTGAGTTCAGAAATTGTTCATTTCATAAAGTAAGGGTTTGCTGAGATGTATTGACGGATTTTAGCTAAATGAAATAGTTAAATTATTTTGATTAGCGTTCTTCTTGACAATAAACTGAAACTCTTCAATCTAATCCGTAATGGGTAAGGAAACAGTATAACCCATAAACTTAATTCTAGAATATCAAAATATGCAAGTTGTTCAATGTTTTCACAGATGATAAAGACAGAAACTAAATTTAAAATAAGTTATTTGTTTTAGCTGAAGGAAGCTACAATTTGTATAAGTGGTGGGATTTAAATGTATCGGCATTGAAAAATAACATTTCCGAAATACTTTGGCACATCGTACAAAGCATTTGATGGCATGCTCTCGCTGAGTTTTTCAAAATCGAATTTTACTTTGCTGTGTATAAAATAAATATTTGACTTTAAAAGTTCAAATTTAAAGTTGTCAAACATTTTCAAAAATTGATTTTACCTTTCGATTTTTCGACCACATCTTGGCATATGTGTCACCTTACCATTTCGAAATCAACGAGAGAAGTCTTCCACTTAAGTATTGTTGGCTCAAGACACCTTGAACTAGCATTACGTATCTTTTAGTCAGCTTGGCGATTGCAAAGATATAATATCGAGCTATTCAACTAAACATCATGGTCCTTTTTCTCAGAGACGCATTTTTTTACTAATAATCAATGTCTTCTTTTGGTCAATCAAACTTCAATAACAGTTGCCTTAAATTCCATTGTCGATTTTAGTCATGAAATTCAAGTACAAACAACAATCAGTTACAATTTTACTCATTAAAGTCATTAAAGTATTGAAACTCACCACTTGCAGTAGCGTAATGTGAAGTTCTAACGTGTTCCTCAAAGTTTGGGTTACGTTCCGTGTCAGTGAAAATGTAGGCGGGTGATTTGCATTGTGAACTTTCAGTTGTGTTTGCTGTTCCAGTCAAGCAATTTAGAACCTCAATTCGTTTTGACATTTTTCCATTACTGATGCTACTTTCGTGGTTGACTGCGTTTTGTCTTTGCCTGTTTGGCCGTCGGCAACGTAGGAAGATAATTGCTGCGATCAATATGAAGGAGATAATTAATGCTAGTACGATCATGGTGGTGATTATAATGAGATCTCGATCACCAATAATGCTGAAACTGTGTCGGTTTTGGGTCTTTCCTTTGTGACTGATGACGGAGTCAATTTTTATGTCACTTGAGGAAGAACTTTTTAACTTTCCATTCTGTGTAACGTCAATTTTGAGGACTGTTGTATTACTTCTGCGCATATGGCCTTTGTCAGATGCCTTAAGTGCCAAAATAAATGATTTTGGGCGGCTGTTCTTGAGATAGGACGATGATATCGAACCTGCTTCATTGTTTTCTTTGGAAGCAAGTTTTGTTTCAATGCCGAATGGTTTCGCTAGATAAAGCATTCCGGAAGTTTTATCAAGAGCAAAATATTCCTGTTCGTTTCCTTTAATAATCTCATATTCAACTTCACCATTAGGTCCACTATCAGCGTCCATAGCCTTCAGCTGAGCCACTTCTCGTCCAACCGTTGCGTAACTTGATATGTTAACCCTAACGATAGGATTGTTAGAGGACTGGGGAAAGACCCACACTGGCGCGTGATCGTTGACATCCTGAACGCGGATCACCACATTTGCAAATGCTGAAAGTGGCGGCTGTCCGTTGTCAAAGGCAACAACGGTGAAGCTTAGTATAGGAGTCTTTTCACGGTCGATTGGAAAATTCCGAGTGTAAATTTCTCCATTTGAAGTGATTGCAAATAGACTACTGGCACCAACTCCGTCACTGTTGCCACTACTGGGGTGTGGAGGTTGAAGAACGTCCAACCCACTGATGCTGTACTGGATTCGAGAATTCTTTGGATCCGCATCGTTGTCTATTGCATGCACCGACCCAATCTATCAAGTTATGATAAAAATAAGTCATCTCTACTGATCGAAAATTGTGCTTCCCATTGCACATTTGTTTTGAAATTCCGTTTAGTATTATTCTTAAACCAATAAATTTAAGAAAGAATTTGCTTAGTTCGTTTTTAACTCTTAAATATTTTATAACTGCTTGTACGTATCATTTCCAAGACATTTTCAACCCTCATATCCTTAAACATTTATTTTAGATCAACGCTTGTGCCAAGTTGTAAAGGCGTTAAAGTTCAATCATTGGCGGTCGCTGTTTGGTGTTCACATGGACTTTCAAGGCACAAAACAATCACGAAAATTGGATTTAACATAAGGCAACAAAGGGTTTTAAATGGCAATTTCATCAACTTAAAAATTACAGTTTAACAAAGTTAGGGCCTTTTAAAACCGCTTCGATTTTTTTTTTGTCTAGAATCCAAATTAACACTAGTTTTTTTTTCAAATTACTTATAACCTTTATTTAAAAGCCAACTGGTAATACGATCAAATATATGATTTTTTTTAAAATAGTGCAGCCTAAGTATACATTAAAAAGGCTTGGAAGAAAGCACTAAAACTGCCCACGGAATAAACTGCAATATCTGCCTGACTCCTATACTTTGTTATATGTGCATCAGGGATTTTCTTAACTTGTTCATGAATGGTTTATTATATAAATATGAAAAAAGGACCTTTGAAACGTGGTTAGTCATTTATTGCTTAGACCTTTGATTATTACCCTTTGATTTATAAGACAAGTTAATGTCATTTTCAAATGGCAAACCAATGATTATTCATTGTTCTGATGCCATTCTCAGTTAACATCTCTAGAATAAGTGACTTCACGGTGGCAATAAATAAATATTCTCTCTCCATACAACATTGCAAAAACTAGAACTTATGTTCCATAGGTTGTGCTCGCAAAGATATAACTTGCATTAACCAATTAAAAATGACGACTACATAAGTGTCAATTTCGATAAAGGAATACATCTTGTTTAGAATTCGCTTTTTTGATATCCCCATGTATATAAAATAAATTTTTTTTAATGTTTTCTTAGTCAGAGAATTAGTAGCTTCAATGTATAGAGGGCGAAAGAAGCAATAGTCGACAGAGTAAATTAAGTTTATTGTGAGTCGTGTTTAGGTATTACTCTAACTACTCTGACGTACAACTGGGTTTTTGCAATTATTTAAACGATCCGGACACTTAACTTGACCTGCTAAAACATCAAATGGGCTGCCCTTGCATTGCTGCCTAAAAGTAATAAACTAAGTGCTTTTGTGTTGTTACGATATGTAATGAACACTCATTAAAGTTTATTGGTGGAAAGCGCGTAAATAGGTTTATTTGAAGATTATTGGCATCTTTAACCTTCACTGGTTTCCACGCACAACGAAGCCACTCTCTTCACTATGACCCATTATGCCTAACAAGTGAGCCAGCAGCTTCATTTACCTTGTCGAATCGTATCTTTTGTACTATTGGGCTCTATACGTGCCAATGAGGAATGAATTTATGGAGTACCTGCTAACAGTTGTAGATAAATAAGTCCTTACTTACATGGGTACTTTTGTTTCGTATGCCTAAATCGGTACAACAATATATTAGTTGTGTTTAATAAAATAAAGGAAAATATTTGCGTATACACTTAGAGCAACTCAGTAGGCCTTTGTATGTCCAAATATTAGGAAAGTAGCAGCAATTAATGCATTAGTAAATCTTTACATTGTTGTTGGCTAAAGAACTGTGCTTATAACACATAATTGCCTAGTTTCATTATGGAATTGAAATCATAAACTCAGGATTTTATGCTTTTACGAATGCAACGTGGACAGAGTAGGTAATTTGAAAACAAGTTACAGCAACTTTCGACCCTTACTTTAATTCCCACTGACTGTAAAAAATAGTACTAAAGTAATTGATTAGACACAGTCTGCATCTCAAATTTTTAAAACACAACTTAACATCCAATGAGGCATGTTTAGAGGTACGCATGCACTTAACCAGAACTACGCTCGAAGACACTCGAATCGCAAGCGACCAGACACGGCGCCATGTGCCAAGCTAACTTAACCAGCTGGTGCATTTTTGGTTTATTATTTTGCCCCCGCAGCGGAAAGTCATAACCTCTTATTTTGACAGTCGGAAGTCATGTAAGTTTAAAAACATGATGCAAATGCAGCTCATCATAACTTGAGCCCAAAAAATGAATAAACTAAACACAAAAATTGTAATTGAGCTTTTAAAATGCCATTTACTTATTGCAGTATCCGGTCATTCCTAGAGCTAGGTATTACTTAAGCTTGTGCACGTCCAAAAGTCGTCTGCTAGGAAAACATTTTCTAATGGTCTTATCGTTAAAACGCCAGAATTTTATTAAAGTGTTCATGGGTGGTAGGTGGTAGATTTCACAGCAAATGTAGTAGAATTTATCCATTGGTAAAAAATTAATTTTTAAGTAACTTGTGAAAGCCGTAATTGACCCATTTTTAAGGCCTGTGTGTGTTTATTAATTGTATTTACAAAAGTTAGGATAAGAAGACACACAAGGACATATTTTCAAAAGATAATTGATCAAATGCTTTTAGTGTATTTTAATTTGAAGTTAATTGTTTTAGTTCATTGGACATGTTTATTCATGCGTGGCAAAAACGAGTGGAATGAAAACCAACTGATGAATACTTGTCAAGTCGAAATAAGTGCCTACTGTGCGTTTGACAATGGATACAATGCATGGTGTATGAAACTGCAAATTCTTATTCCTCTCTGTTAATTGTAGTAGATAAAGTTGTCTTTGTGATCCTCTTAACAACATAATGTTTGCCTTCGTGTGTAATTAGGCTTTAGGTAATATTGTAAGGAAAAATTAATAAATATTTTCGAATTTGACATTCAGCGAGTTAGTGTTATGATAAGCTCAGCCAGAAGACGAGATGATGCTAATAATGATAGATTTAATTATTTCCAGTCGTCTGCAAAATAGCTAAAGCATTTACATGGACAAAAAATTACTTACATCTGCGATAGTTGCTTCTCATATTTTTCTGAGGGAATATTAGTTTTATTCAGCAGCAAGACTTCATACAGGCTTGGATAATTTCCAACAATGTTCGATATTTATAACAAACTGGCACCTCCATTTCCGCTTGTTCGAGTTTTTTTGTCTCCTTTGGGTTTCTTCAAACAGGAGCCCTTTCACTTGTATTATGGAAACTAAGCATTTACTAATAAGCTCTTTTTAGTGAGTTTTTTTCTGTTAGACGACTCTTCATTTGACTAGAGTAATCTAAACGTCGGAACCTTGACAAGGCGTTAACAAGCATGGATCATTAAATATAAGGCCATAATTTGAGATTTCACTTACAATCGAGAGATCTGAAATTTGGCATAATGTCAAATCTCTCGGAAACAAAGCTAAGTAAGCAAGTTTTACCCTAAAGAAGGCGATCCATCAAGAAACCAATGTTTGCAAAATTTTAGAAAGACCACTTATTAGTTGGGTGAGATTTTAAGCTGTGTGTGAGCATAAACTAATGAAAAGCTTAATTATGGGACTCCAGCTTAACATATTGTGCGCTGACTCAGATTAAGTCAATCCATTGTAATTCATGCTTTACCTAAGCACGTAACCAGCCACATTAAACCACACTGCAAAGAAAACGAAACTTATTCTCTTCCAGTCTTTTACACCAGTAAATTCAAACAGGATAAATTCATAACGTTAATTTGTATTTCACATGACCATGCACAGTATTTAAATTGCAATTGCCTACCATCTCAAGTGTTAGCATAATTCTGAGAGAAAAAGGAAATACAACCACAGTTTTGATTTGAAGTGCTAAAAATGACGTTAAATTACATGCATGCACTTGCGTGTTCAACTATAGGTTATTTATGCAGCAAATTACTTCGCTCACATCAAAAGTTATTAAAGTATTTTAGGTCTTACAAGTTTAAATCGTACTCTCGATTCATGGGCTTTGAACTCCAAAATGCAGGCAATGAGAGAACCCTGCGAAATTACATTATTGCAATGCTATTACTGGTTTTGGATTAAAAGTTTACCAAAACGACTAAAGTGGTTCAAATAATTGCAACATTATTTTAGACTTATTCCAAATCGCAAGCATGCACACTGAATCGAGGCATAATTGATGCGAATTTTACTAGTTCTTATCTTACATCCAGTCCTGATATTTAAAAATAAGCCTTTCCCCGAATAAGACTTAAAATTTAATCTGGCATGACCTCTTTTTTAAAGATATTAGAGAAAGTGTGAAATATAAATTGTGCCATTTTGCAAAATACAAATTGCATTTTTTTTAGGATTTCCACACGGATGGCTTTTTTGTAAACGATAAATACAATCACAGTGCTAGACATGTGTTTCACGGATCCCTATTTTATGGGAAATTAAGCCGAGGTTGTTTTTTTCTAATGGTATTTCTAGTTTAATGGCCATCGTTAAATGTTTTTATGAGGTAGTTGAAGTCGAAATGATTAACAATCTGCTTTCGTGACACATTGCAAGGCACCTTAGCAAACTAAAATCAACAAGTTCAATTGTGAGTAGATTGAAAACAACGTTAGTCTAGCCACTTTCTGACAGTCAACAACAAAACTGTAATTTTTTTTAAAATTACTTTTAGCTGTGATTTTTTACTACTTTTCATTCTTGATGTGTATTCAAAAATCTGACCCTTAGCACATTTCACGAAAACATTGCAATCAGCAAATAATCATAATATATCACAGGCATTCGCTTCTATTAAATTAATCAATTTTTGTCTAAAGTCAAACCAATTTGTCCGATTTGAAGACAGCAGCATTCAGGCTCAGCACATTTTTTTATTTTATATACAATAATTAACATACGATTGTATATGCAACCCACTTAAAATGCAGCCGCACAGGTTAAGGTTTAAGCACTTTGAAAGCCGTTGCGTGTCTTACCTAATTTAATTCTGAGCAGGTACCACATAGTAGTTTATATGCATAATTCTTATTTTATTGCAACTAAAGCTGTTTAAATAAAATTCGTTTAAAAGTGTGCTGCACCTCTTTTCTCCAATCCAAATGAACTTGAAAGTCTAACGTCAAACCAGATCGTTTTGGCTGAGTTGCTGCCGCTATTGCATTTTTTGAAATGGAAGTGTGTTGAATTTGTCTTCGTTCGAAAAGTTTAGCTCATAGATTTAAGTCATATTAAAATCTATTCTTCAATTATGTGCGGCGTCGTTTAACCTTTGTATTGGGACATATTTTGATTTTATGCGATTAGTAGTTTTCTCAAGATTAAAAGCAAAGGTCTCCACAAACCAGTTACACAGGTATATGGCAGTTTGTATGAAAGGACTGGGGTTTGTGCTGTGTGAAAATTTGTGCATCTAACACATTTAACGTAAGCATCTCTCCTATGACACTATACACACTCCGGATTTCAATAACACTATTGCTAAAAACTAATTTTACTTTAGCCTTGCTTCTGCACTGATTTTGCCCAAAAAAAGTAAATCTGACAGTGCTCTTGAAACTGCTCAACTGGAAAATAGCCCTGACACACAAAAAGACTGAAGCATATATTTGCCCATACTTTTAACCAGCCTAAAACATATTTACGCAAAGTGTGCATGTAGGAAAAATAAAATTTACCAACTGTCTATTGATCAAAAAATCACTGTGTCATATCAATTATTTGGAGGCAACAAAACAAGCATTTTCCTTAGTTTCATTACTAAAGCTAGAAACTGGCAGGTTAATACACGGCGACCGTATTGTCGAATTTAATTTTTATGTTGAGTCCATTTTAAATTTAAACTAGTTTAAATGTCTGGTAACTCAGAATTTTGAAATCAGCACAAAAGTAGCAGTAAAATCCTTGGAAATTATTATGATACGAAAGTAAGATAATTTTGGATTCAATTTAAATCTAGTCAAAAAAATTGTTTTAAAAGTTTTTCTTGTCGCAATTAAGCTTCAACTTAGAACACCTAGTATTTAAGGCAAACAATTTCACAGGTCTCCTTTAGGATAGTCGTCAGAATTGGGCTTCAAGCATTTTAATTTGTCTACGAATATAGCTAAAGTCTTAGACTTCACGAGTTCAAAAAGGAAGCTGGTTTTGCCTTACAGTATCAGTTTATGCACAAGCATCAAATGGTCATTTGAATGGGTAAACTTTGCCTAATTTATTTGCTCTTGACGCACGTGTCTGACACGCTGCTCATATTCTCTTGTGAAGCTACCTGATCTCATGCAGATAACATTTCGTTTTGCAGAAATTACTCAGTTACGCATTTATTACATCCGGTTTCAAAATTATTCCTCGATTTTGTCACAAAGTGCAACCTTCAAAAAAAACTTTCTTAGAAAGCAATAGCAAAATGATGGAAGGCATGAGCTCTGGTTCCCACGTCCGATTCCCGTCTCGTTCTTCTAGGTTTCTGTGACGTAAATCTCAGGTTTGTAGGTTATATTGTATCTTTGTCCTAAATGCCTCACAACAGGGATGCTGCTTTGTTCGATAACACAAGTAAGTGCAACCAACTTTCTTGACCTTCTTCAGAGTCTACTCAGCATGTCATTGTTAAGGCTGAGTATTTTTCTACTTTTGAGACAGTCAAAAGCAGTTTTTTTTTCAAATTAATTTTAAACGAGTCTTTGTTAGTGTAATATATGTCTTTTCGCTGGGATAGTTCGATGCAGAATCAAATGACGTGCTTATGCATTTTTTACTTTAAACTCGTAAATATTTTTCACAAGCAGTTTCGTGACTCTTTTAGAATGTTATTATTATCTATTGAATATAGAGTTTAAAATGCTGAATGGATGTCTCAAGAGGTGAATATATCTCTCCGACAAAGAATCGTTGTGCCTTCTTATGTCGATAAGCCAGAAGTTATTGAATTGTGCTTCGTTTATCACGAACTGCATAGAAATGAAGGAAACAAAAGGTTTCTATTATAAAACAATATTTGTAAAATATGCTGCACATTTAGAACTCAAGTTTTTAAAACTGAAAAACGTACTGTTACCTTAGTATATAAAAAGAATTCATAAATATCTTTCCTAGCAGTAAGTTATTTAATTTAAAAATTTTGCATAATTGTACGGGTAGTTGTCATTCAGGTAGATCTAGGAAATTTGTGCAATTTTCAGGATTCTTCAGTTTATCATTGCAAGAGTTTACTATTTACACTTTTGCATTCTAAATTTATTACGCGCATTTAAATAAATGTATAAATGTATAAAGGAGGTTTAAACGAATGCATACAGAGCAAAAGTAACGTTAATTAGTGCCCATCAGTGACCATTTATTTTGACAAAAAAACTACGGAAAGGCGGCCCGTAAATGAGAAAACATTTTTGCCCCTTTAGCTTTTTTGTTTGCTAGTGGGCTTTCTGCTTGACAATAAGTTCACTAACTCAAAATGATACTTCATTTAAAATCAGATTTTAAGCAATTGCTTAAGATTATAAGCATTTTGAGTAATATGGTATCTATATTGTTTTCCAAAATTTTGTTGACAAATAATTAAGCTTAGACTGTCGTGTTTTGTTAGAAAAAAAATGAACACCATCTAAATTAAAAGGACAACATTTTCTGGAAGACAATGATGAGAAAGTGTGCTTCATTGCGTTTTCTAGCATCTCATTTTTCACCATACCTCGCGGAGCTAATAAGCTCAGATTGCTTAAATTCTGCCCTAGAAGAATTTTTGCGCTAAAGGGCGCAGAAGCACCCTCACGCAAATGGGTAGTAGTCGGCAATGTGGAAATATTTAAGAATGATTCACTCAAACTTAAGTACATTAATTTAAACACTTTTGTCTGACCCTGGTAGTGTAGTGTTTGTTTTTTACATACTGATGAAAACTAGTTTGCTTACATATTCTACAAGTAATGACTCATATAGAGAGACCATGCTGAAGCCTTGCGGGTTTATTTTATAAGAAAATTATTTTTACAAATTAAAAAAAGCTTTTTACAACATATCTGAATTACTGATTAGCTGGTATAGTACAAAGGCAATTAGTTTACAAATGGGAATTGGCGCCTGCATGCTTATGATTATAATGTCGATAGTAAAACCTTGAAATACCAACTGGCAGTTTAATTGTAGCAAAATTTACTTATTCCATCTTCTTACTTAAATAAAGTAATGTGTCCTAATTTGCCTTTTGACACTTGGGTCAATTTGTTCATTGTTAAGGCAATTTTTTCCGAAATACCTGGGCCACAACTACTTTACTTTATGAAACACTTTTATGGGCACCATCTCAAACTAAATGGGACCATTTGCATTTTTTAATGCAAAGCTGATAATCTTGCGGTTGGTCAAAAATGGTTGTGAATTTTAAGTGGACCACCAAGCAGGGAACGGAATATTTGACAAGCCCTGAATTTGTGTTTTTTAGTGAAATACAGCAACGAATTTCAGTACTTACTGATTGCTGTGGTCTCTGCCCTTCTTTCACTACAAACTCATAGTTGGATTGGTCAAATTCTGGGGCACAGTCGTTTACATCTTCCACTGTAATGACAACACTGGCTGAGGCAGAATGAATGGGGTTGCACTCCCTCCCATCTTCACTCTTATTGTTAATACCTCCTGCACAGTCAACAGCTATAACCGTGAAGTTGACTAATTCCAGTTTTTCTCTGTCAAATATTGCGGACGTAGACAATTGACCTGTTAACGGATCAAGGGTAACTAAATCGACCAGATCGACGTCTGCCTTAATCGAGTAGCGAATCGCTGCATTCAGGCCAACGTCAGCGTCGGTTGCTTGAACCTTATCTATTGCGGTGTTGATGGGAAGATTTTCTGCTATTTTTGATTTATAAAGAGACTGAGCAAACACTGGAGGAGAGTCATTTATGTCCTCAAGATGTATCACCAGGTGTACGTTCCTTGACAGCATAGGTTGACCTGAGTCATGACATGTAATTGTCACAGTGTGGGTGCTTTTCGTCTCTCTATCCAGGCGCCGAGACGTAGCAAGTATGTACTGATATCGTGAGTTTGGAAAAAGTGGATGTACTGCAAAAAATGGATGAGCAGTTGCACAGTGTGCTTCACTATAACCTGAATCACTTTTACCGGACATCCAGCGTTCATCAGCATCCTCCATTGTAATTATGGCAACCATTTTGCCAACTAACACATCTTCGGGCAGAAGTAAGTCGTTTGTATTTCGCCATCGAGGTAGGTGAGACTGAACCGTAATATTAGGAACGTTATCGTTAACGTTTTTTAATCGAACACGGAGATCAGCCTGCACGAAATGTACACCGTCTGTTACTTTGATTGGAATGATGTAACCAACCTCTTTCTCTTTTGCTGATTGCTGATTGTACAAAGAGCTTTCTGGTTTTTGTTCAGGTAGTAATGGAGCGATTTCATAGTCCAAATCTTGCGCCACCGTTATAGCACCCGTCCGTTCGCAAAGACTAAAAAGTCTAATGACTTCTCCGCTAGCTGTTGAAGCAAATCGATAGACTAGTCTAGTAGCATCAGAAGGATCATCGTCCTTTGCTGTCATCGTGAAAATCCGCGTTCCAGGCGCAACGTCTTCTGCAACTTCTATTGATGGGTGAGTTTCAAGGAAAAATGGTGCTTGATCATTTATATCAGTGACTTTTACAATGATATTAAGTGTTCCAGTTTTGTCCCCAAACGATGAACTTTTGGTTTCCTCATCAATTGCGACCAGCAGTAAGCGATAGATCTCTCGCTTCTCTCTGTCCAAGTCTGAGTTTATTTTTAGTTGGAGACTGTACTTTAAGATTTGTCCGTAGGGTTGATCGAATGGGGTGACGGAGAGTAAAAACAAATCGCCAATTTGGCGTGATTCAAAGCTGGAGAAAAAATTACCGTTTTCAACCTGTGGGATAAGTTCGTACCGGATAGAAGCACTTTCAACGTTTCGATCTGGATCGGTAGCCTCGGGAAGCTGAATGGTTGTCCCAATAGGACTATGTTCAGGAATTTCAATTTCCAAAGTGTCTGGGGACCATTTTGGAGGGTTGTCATTTATATCCACAATGTTAAACGCTATATGCACGACTTCAGGCTGAGTGGATAAGGCGGAGCCTCGATGGTCCATTACCATAAGCCTAAGAGCACACTCTGAACTTCGCACATCAAATGGGTGAACAAAGAAGCTTTCGGAGTTCAAGGAAGGACCACAGCAAGTACCTACCTGCTCACACAGAGCTTCTCTGTCTATTCTACTGCGAATGAACAGTTGACCAGAAGTCTGATTAAGTCGGATATAGTTTTCCTGTCCAAGTAGTGTAAATTGTACACTACCTGAGGTAGCGGGTTTTGGGTGAAGTCTTTCTGAAAGACTGCCAATTAGCGTCCCCACTGGTAGCTCCTCGTCTAGTGGAAAACTGACGGTTGTCGCTCTATCCCCACTCCCTTCGAAACCAACTGTAGTATCTGCGGCCTCCAGCAGGGATGTTAAAACTAGTACGTGGAAAATCAGCATCTTGAAAGATGTAGACGGTGCATGTCGTACGCATTTGTAGCTACTGAATTAATATTCATGTTACTACAAATCAGACCTGTGAGATGCTAAAAGATGATTGGCTAAAACCTGGTGGCCACTGATGAAAAGTGCGTGCAAGCCAATGCGCGAATCTGCGTGCACGTTTATCAACTTAAAACCGGCAGAGGAAAAAATTAGGGGGTAGAAAACGGGTAACCAACGAGGAGGAATGCCGAAATGTCAGAAGTTTTGCGTGCAAAAATGGATCCGGTGGATTGGTACAAATTGTGGCGCCAGGCTTGTTTATTTGCTTCGCTGATTAAATAGCTAACGTCATTAAAATGTTTACCCGAAATATCCTTTCCACACTTTCAAAATATTGTCATTGATCCAACAATTTGTTGCGTCCAATGAATTTTCAAAAATTTTGCGACCACACAGATGCTTAATTTAGTGATGGTAAAAACATCTGTAGCTGCCTCTCATACTGTCCAAGAAGACCTACGCGTGATTCAAGGCGTGAATGGTTCGTCTTTACAGCTCTAATACCTGTCAATCACACTTACAGTAGTTCAAATTTGCCTTCCTTTGCGCACCAAAACCCTGAAAAACAACATATCTAAGAATTAATCTTAAAGGATTTACATAAAATACACTCATTTGTTGCTTACTATGAAAAAATATTATTGAATTAAAGTAATATGGTAATCGAACAAATACAGAAAAAACTAATAAAAAGATTTTGAACTTCAGTAATCTTTCCGAAAGCAATAAATTAAATACACAATATAGCCATACAAGCTTATAACAATGCAATGAATTTCTTTATCTGGATACAAATAAATACATTCCAGGAAATGGTTATTTGTTTATTTAAACTATAGTGTCCCATACAAAAGCAGTCACAATAGACTCATGATGCCAGCTTTCACCTAACGAAGCCCAGACTTCAGAACATATTCAAGCTCAATTTTTGTCAGAACTATTAATTGGCTACCCAAAAGGCCAAGAGTTTTGTCATAGTCAACAGCATTGTTTTCATAAATGAGCCTAAAATAGTCAGGCACGTTTAAATGCAACCACATCTTAAGTGTTCGAAACTGCAAAGTGCTTTCGAGAGGTTTGGAGTAGGCAACAGGGGTTTTTATCCAAGACAATTACTTCATATAATGCCTTTTTATTACCGAATGTAAAAAATAGTCGGTGAGTCGTCAAATTCATTAATGGTTGATAAAAAGCACATTTAATTGTAAAAGATCACTTTCATGAAATCAATTTTTACTTATTCCTATTAAAGGAACCTAATCCATTCAAAAAATACTAAGCATGCATTATTTTCTTCTCCACGTTCAAGTTGTTAGTCGATACCAGATAGTCACTCCTGTTCCGATTTCTCAAACATTGATTATTTTAGATTCATATTAAATCACTACAATCGGCATCTTTTCATTACTTTAATGTAAATTTGAGGTTACAAAAATTACAGCTACCATAAAAAATTCTCTGCAAAAATAACTGATTAAAATTGCTGATATGGTGAAAAAGGCAAATCCAACTTTAATTTCTTAATTAAATTTTTCTTCTTGCAGGATGCAATTCAGAAAAGATTGAAGTTTTCGCTTCAGTTATTTTGCAACAATGTTCTCGGCACAAATGAAATTATTTAACGGAATTAAACAAATGCTAAAATTGCCTGGTCTCAAGCTATTGTGATTTTTTTCAGAGTTAATTGCGTACTCCGAAATGTCTAGTCATTAACTTGGAGAGATCCAAATTCGGTTAACATGAGCCAAATTTGAATATCCCAATTTTGATATACCCAATATTCTCTAATAATTATTTGAAAACGGTGCTACCCATAAGATAAATAATTGGTTAAGTCTCTTGGACTGAAATACTTTCCAAATATGGGCATTAACTTTTGACAAGACATTTAGATTGCTTTAATTACACAAGAAATGTTAAACCAAAACATAGTTTATTTTGTGCCTGAAGACACTACAGGACAGTGGTAGAAGCAACAAAGGCAGAAAATAAATGTAAACGTTTAAACCTATATCATATTAATATCAAGCTAAATTAGTTGAAGCAATCGCTATAGTGACTTGTAACTATAGCGCTATCCGTTAGCAAGTCCTGCGTCTGCGCTTAAATATCGATATAACCATACGTCTTGTCAAAGTTAATTTTAATCCCAAATTTGTTTTTAATTCACTGCATTTACTTCAGATTAAATGAAAATAGTTTGAAAGTGCAGTTCATTAAGAATTTAAAATGGGAGAATAAGCTAGCACATTGGCATACTTTGGTTGGCAAAGACAATACCCTAGTTCTATTTCCATAAGTCTTTAATTCTAAACTCTGATTGCAGATAAATATGCAGTTTTCATCAGTAAGAGCAGTTTTATAGTCCCTTACCAATATCTTTTTTCACCTGCATTATCCCGAAAAAGGGTACTGAATTTCATAAAACAATACAATAATTTCTCCGCTTTTATTCATTGATTTTATTCCCAAAATTTCTGTTATTAGTGGTCATCTTGGAGTGGAATAATTTGTTTATATCTTTCAAAGAAGGGGCTCTATTAAACCTAATCATTATTATTGGGCAGCAGGACATATTTCTTTTAAATACAAAAGCAGCATAATAGAACTGGTCCCTTCCACTGTAAGCAGTTGATCATATTACATCAAATGCGAGATAGGAGTCAGTCTATGTTTATTGTAAATCAAAACAAATGGACAGATTCCAAGGTAAGTTTGTTGGCCTAAGTACAATAACCAACCTTGTAAGCCAATCACTTTTTGGATCAGCATGTTATTTTGCTATTTGATGTCGTAGACGCATTGAAAATAAGTATAAAAGAATTTTTTATCAGTTATAAAGTAACTCCCAAAACTTTCCCAATGGCATGACATGCGTCGCATTCGTTTGGACAGACATATGAGACTTTACTTTGACCACGCCAAATTGAGAGGCAGTACGTATGCTTACGTAGCCCATTCACGTCATCTACGTCTCACGCACTGACACTCAGATTTTTGCCAAAAACGCTTTGATTCCAAGTTCAATGAGCGTTCGTTATTTCTGATTAGGTTTTATTTGCAGCAACTACCTGCAATGTATTTTATTTAGTACTTAGTGGTAATCGTGTACAACTATGTCTGCTACATTATCTACAACTGAATCGGCAAATAAACCAGAATAATATTAAGCATTAGTTTTTCTGTATCAACTAGAATCCACGATAGTGGAATTATTACAATTGTCCCTCCTTATACAAAGATTATATAAAAATCTTTATTTATAATGAGATTTAATTTGCTCTCTTGCCTGAATATGATTTTGATCCAGCAAAATTAAAAATCCACTCATGATTGTACAGTTTTGTTATTTGCAAACGTAGGTCTATTATTTTTCTTCTATCTCTCTACTCTAAAAAGTCGTGAAATTGCCACTTAGCTCAAGATTTAGAAAATTCTGTCAGACTTATTTGCAGTATGCACAAAGAAAACAAAATTATTTTGTTGAGCGGAGAATAGAAACTGTAATGAACATGCGCATTAGAGCAGTTATTAGCTAAGGGCTTTCCTTTCCCATCTGATTGTGTACGATAACCCTGATGGACTTAAGAATGACCAACTGATTGCAACTTTTCGTACAAAGTGGATGGTAACCCATGAGCTGTCTCATTTTATCCAGATAAGTTCAAGAATAATTAAATCTTGTAAATGCCTTTTCTCTGAAGCTCTTCATTCTAGAAATATACTAAAAAATTTACAGAAAACAGCAGTTCGCCCTGTTGTTATGCGTCCTTGTGTTAAAAAAAAGTTGAAACGATTGTATATGACAGTGTTTTCTGGTCTTCCTTAGTTTGTAACTTTGACCGTTGGTAAATATATCGCAATAAAAACTCTTCAAAAGGCTCATTTGACCTATGTTCCATCTTATCTAGGGAATACAAATCTGAGAAAATCGAATTCTCAAACTACCTTTCTGATGATAAGGGCTACTAGTCGTTGTATATTAAACTGATTCGTTCTATAACCACAGAATAAAAGTTTCCTAAAATATTCAAAGGTGAAATTTTAAGAGCATTCTCTTTTTAATTAGATAAAAGTGGCTGCCAACTAAGATGATGAGCTGCTCGCGGTGGAAGATTTAGGGCATGAAGTTAAAAATACACCACTCGTTGTTGCTCTAAATTGTCATCTTAGAGCCATTTTTGTAATTAGGAGTTTATGCAATGCTTAACCTACTCGTTTACAGTAATAGCAACAGCATTCTGAAAAAAATCCTTTATTTTTAGAAGAGCTTAGAAGCTAGTTGGACAGTGGCCTTTCTAGTCATCCAGCTCTAAAACATTATAGTTGTAATCGGAAAGTGATTCATATAGAAGGGTACTCATTGTCGAATTACCTTTAACCTGACATGGATGTTCTACATTTCAGACTTCGATTTGTTGTGGCGGTTTATTCGATGGTGCATTTCATTTGGATGTTTAATAAATACCATATTTTAACCAAACATGATGTTTGCCAGCCGAGTTCCCCCGAGTCTACTGACTTAAGTCTAAAACTTTATTCACAACCCTATATTGGTTAACAATAAATTGAATTTTCTAAAATCTCTGCTGCATTCCGTCAGCCGGTGGGTTTTATGTCTGCGGGTGTGAGTCGAAATTGTGCATCGTGTTTGCGGAGAAATAAATTATTCAAGAAGAGGAAGGAGGAATCAGTGTTAAACTGCCTATCCACCCCACAAGAATCCTTATTCAATATCGTGCGTATGTGGTAAATCACAATTTTCCCTTCTGCAGGAGTTGTTGATAAATAATTCATAGCCAAGCACACACACACACAGACGTTCACAAATAAGCACACACTTCTGGACGACTTATTGTTTTTAAATGCCCTCTTCCCACCTGCGGTAGCCAAGAGTAGGGCTAATGAATTAATGGATAACAGCCTTCTCTTCCTATTTAATGGCCATTAGTCGA